ATTTCAACGGTCGTTGTGTCGTGTTTAAAAAGGACTCGGATGTCTACAAACGTTTTAACGTTTCACTGAGGACACGAAGAGCCGCCTGGCGTCGATCGCAGGGCTGAGATTGTGTGGCTAGAGAATCGAAATGAAAGGTCAACCTTTGCCCTTGAATTCTGCGGTGGATTTGTGGCCGTGGGTACATTTTAGCTTGGGATTTTTTACTTCGTTCGGGAGGCTGTCTGGACAGAAGTGTTCGGCCTTGTCTTCTCTTTAAGAAGAGAAAACCAGGATTAAAAAAAACCGCTTAAATCAAGTGAAATCGGTAAAATAACGACACCAGGAGCAAGCAACACACGTATGGAATAAGGTAAGCCATTTTTATTTAATATTTTCACTTTTAACTATCTCTATGGATATCTTGTAGAAAATCCCATACAAATCCTTATAAATCGATATGCAAATTGTGTTCCTTGTGTGGTTCTCAAAGAGAACTTGGGCCGCCTGTGATGAATATAGGAGTGAACGGAGTCTAATTCGTTCTGTTAGCATGCGAGTGATTGACAAAGTCGAACAAGCGCTAAGCGCGAGTCCGAATTTTGATGTCGAGTATAATTACAGACAGAATTGGACGACGCGAAGTCCTGTTACCAATTTATCAACACCGTGATAACATTTTAGGAAAAACTAGCCATCTGTCATTCGTTTTCGTATAAAAACAACAGTAAACTCGGCGAAATTCGCGACAACATTGCGCGCACTTGATGCATACTGTCATATTACACAAGCATGATACGCACGTTATCCAATTACAAGCATGATGCATATATTTCTCTATAAGTGCTTAAATTGCGCTGGTTTTAACCAATCAAGTTCGAGAATTTTGTAATAGTGTTGATTACAAATGGAATATTAACGTGCTTGTACTTATTCTAAGACCACAAAAACTGAACTTAATGTTCGGGTGTTTATTTTCTCTTTAAGGATCACACACAAGACAGTGACCAACTGTATTCCTGTGTCATTCAATATGTGCTCTTCCCACCATATCCCCAGTCTTCTGAGTCAGAGCGGCGTGAAGAGTCCGTCCATGACTGGGCGTCCGTAGGAAAGACTGGACGCAAGTTTAACATGGTCACAGAGGTATGGGCTGAGCCTCAGTTTGGCTGCTTGACCGATTTGAAAACGGAGTTGAAGTACCTGGAAGGACTTCAGTACGATCAAATTCCAGATGCAGTAAGTTCAAAATCAAACACAAGGAAATATCTTGGGGAACTGATGAATACGCGCTCCTACCCCTCCTCCAACAGTTTACTATTGGTGGGTTAGGGAGGGATACATGCGCAGTTGTTCAGCTACTGACATTGATCCTAAAAAATAGGAGCAAACTGAGTAAATCGTGATTGGTCAAGTTATTTTTTAATTTGATTGGTTGAGAAGATGGCTTTGGCAAGAGTACCATATAACCCCATACATTAATTATGCATTCAAACTAGTAGACTTGGTTTTTAAAGTTTTGTCGTGAAGGACAAAGAAGTGGAATCCATAATGAATGGAGTTATATGGTACTCTTTGCGATGGCTTTTTTCAACCAATCACACAGCGAAGTAAAGCAAAACCAAAGAATCCCGGATGCTTTCGACACGAAATTAAAAATGGTCCAAGAAAGTGCAGCGACAGGCCATTTGGTACTTACGAATCGTCTTGCAACTTCAACTTCAGCTTCAGGCAATGTTAATCCTACCGATTAATCTGGTATGTATTATTTATTTATTGTTGTTAGATTTATCAAGCTGATGTAAAGCACGTGTCGGCACTGCTCACTTACGATCATCTGGTGAGTATGTGCGATGACAAAACTGTCACTACCCCTCACAGACCTCTCCAAGCGCCGGAAGAAAGTTCTATACTGTCCAAAAGTAATTGGATAGTAGAGCAGCCGCCGTTTCCATTTGACATCATTGATCTGTTGCCCAAAACTCGACAGGTGGAGATGGTGTTTTCTTCTCTGATTGAGACTTCTTCTCAAGGTAATTCGTACGTGGTTAACAGTGGTTATATAAATTGGCCAGCACATAGAGTTTTTCAAATGCTGACGTTTCGTTTTTCAAATGTTGACTTTTCGAGCTCTGACGAAAGGCTAACGCTCGAAACGCCAGCTTTACAACTATCTCAGAAGGTGGCCGATTCCCATTACCAACCCAATTGATAACACCAAGTTATCTTGTAATACCCCTAACGACGCAGCCATACAGTTTCTTTAGAAATTTTCCCTCCGGTAACAGTGATTGTAGTATTTATTTGGGAATTGAACACAGAGCTATTGTCATATTTGAAGCCACTGAATTTAATATACATTTAGGCCAACGTCCTCTCTCTTCTTTGAAATGTTGACGCGGGAAGCGCGCGAGAGTGGCGCATTTGTCCTCTTCCTTCCCGTCATACCCTTCGCCGTGGTAATACTATCACGTACTCTTAGACTATAGAGGATCAAAAATTCTTTTATCTTTGTTTTGTTTACGTCGTGTTTTTCTTGTTTCTAGCCTCGGATGACCTCAACGTTTTGCCCAACGAGAACTTTTTCAAGCTTTTGATAGAAAACATGGAGCGTTTGAACGATCGTGAAGTTATACTAAGTGACGATGACTGGAATCGTTTCACGCAGCACATTCTCACTCGGCCGAGGAATGATGTTCCCCTTCCGTTCCCCGAGGGACTGCGGCAACGTAAAGATTCTGGCGATACCACACAGGATAGTAAAGAGAAAAAGTCCAAAAACAAAAGCACTTCTTCAATGAAATGGAGATGTTTCATTCGTGCCGTGACAGCTCTTGGAGGTGGTCGAATCATACTCACATTTCTACCAGCAAGCTTTAAGCACATAAGGCTCATGGGAAGGCGCCAGCGGAGCAGGAGCTCTAGTGTCAGGAACAACTCAAGTAGCTCACACAGTGCATCAGAAGCGGAGCATAAAGGAGCCCCAGATGAAAGAAGTCCTTATGGTACATGTGAACCGCAAAAGCTAAGTGTTCCTTTGTTATCACAAGGATCTCTGGAAGGTTTGTTTGACGTTTTCGTTGGGTTAATATCAGAAGGAAGTTGAATGAAAATTTGTTCGGGAAACTTGTCCTTTCTCTCCCGGGAGTGAACGAAAGAGAATTATTCCTCACAAGATCAGTAGATTTTTACGAAAGGGGGAAACAAGAATAAAGAAAAAATCAGTCAGGGAATATTGCTTGATTAAATATACTAACAATTGAAATTATGAAAAAATACGTGGCAGACAATATAGAGGGTAGATTTTAGATCTTGAAAGGGTTGATATCAGCTATCATAATTATATTCTATGGGTGGTATGAAGAAAGAAAGTATTGCAATATTTCTTTTTGTGCGAAGGTTCTAAGGTTATAAGTTCCTCTAGTTCTATAACTAAGGGACTCTCCACGTTATTATTGTAGAGTTCATGCACTTTCCTTGAAATGCGAGACGAACATCGGTCGCCGCAAAAAGTGCTGTAAATAGTTCTATAAGAATATAGAATGTTTGTTGTTTGTAGACCAAAGCCTGACGCCAACACCTACTGCGGAAAAGGACGAAGGTCCATTTGTCTTCTCCCAGAAAACAAGAAATTCACCCGTCTTGAATGGGAATTCAGAAATGCCAGTCAATAATGGAGATGAAAAAAGAAGCGTAACATTTCAAGAAAATTCCACGTCTATCAACAAAGAGCCTGTTTTTTACGGCAGAGGCTTTGGTCAAGAAAGTGATTCTTTTAGTTTTGATATACCAATATATTGCTATGACTGCCCGATGTCAGCCCTCGTAGCAATACCTGATGCCAATTCCGATACAGAGAGAACGTCAGAGGAGAAGCGCGAAGACATATTTCAAGATTTTACGCAGTTTGCGGCTCATATTTTTGCGGATCCATTCAGTTTGGACGAGGTTCCAAGATCATTAGAGGGGCGATCGAAAGGAAAGTTTGGCCCCTCGAAAGACCTTCTGCTCCACTGCAGTGCAGTGCATGATTTATTTTTCCGAAGTTTTGTTACGTCGACATTTTTAAGTCTGCAACAGGGTCAGCAGGTGAGCATGCGAGATGTCCAGTCTGCGGTTGATGCCTGTGAAGACAACTTCCTTGAAGTAGACATCACAGAGTTCATTCACACTCTATGCGGACATTATGTAAAGAGTAACAAAACCAGGGAGGCCTTTTTTGAGACAACAATCGACGAGGATCTCCTGTCTGTTCCAATTTGGTTACCGTCAGAATCATCAGAAGAAAGAGTGAGGGAGCTTAAAGAATCTCTGGTTGGACAATGTGAATCTGTAAATGGTCTGCATAAGTCCATTACTGGGAAGTTTTTTTCAATACTGGGAAGATACTTCAAAGCAGTTCCGCCAAGCCGAGAATACTTCTTTTACTGTCCACAGCTGTCTGAGGGCCCGAGAAAGGTACAGTGTGAACACTTCCCTTGCGCGTTTGTGACACACATTTTTATAAAGGCTGAAAGTTTCTAAAGAAACTGTGGTGCTGCGTCGGTGGGGGTAACAAGGTAATTTGGTTATATCAACTAAGTTGAAATTGTAAATTGGCCACCGTAACGAATAAAAAAGCTGACGTTTCGAGCGCTAGCCCTTCGTCATAGCGAATGACGAAGGGCTAACGCTTGAAACGTCAGCTTTTTTATTCGTTACGGTGGCCAATTTACAATTTCAACTTAGTTGATATAACCAAATTACACATTTTTATAATATGTACTTTATTTATTTTATTCTGTAATCATTTGTTACAATTTTACTTTTCTATCTATGTTAATTTTATGTAAATAGTGTGAAGTAAATGATCCTTGACTAGACGAATGACATCTTTCCATCTCTTTTCTTTAACTTTTCAGTCTGTTCCAGAGTCGTTCTCCGAGTTTGAACCCTTTGAAGTAGACCAAGTTGCAGAGGACGATTTCAAGGAAAGAGACAGCGACGTGGATTCGGATGCCTTTGATGATGATGATGATGATGATAACATCTTCATGGTGGACGAGGGAACAGTTCAACAGGATGAGGTAGAGGATATGCCTGACTATGAAAGTCAAGCAAGTGATAGCGAATGTGAGGGGGATGTTGATTTTGTAAAAGAGATGAAGATACCGTTCTTCCTACAGCTGACATGTTCACTGAAGGATACGAGAAGCCATGGACAGCCAATGACGCCTGTTTCTATAAACACATTACCTGTGTGTCTCGGTAAGAACAAAACGTCACTTTGTGCTACTTACTTTGATGAAAATTTGCTCCTGAAAGACAGCTGGAGTTGAGAAATACAATGTGGCACCATTTCTTTGGAATTTAGAACGAGCCCTTATCGTATTCTGCATCTCCAAGGGGGAGTTAGTGGGGGGGAGAGAGAGGGGGATACCTTTCTTTGATAACGGGCACCTCCCACTCCACCCATATTAAAAGTATCTGTCCCTTAAATTGATTTCTAACTCCTACTTGATTGAACTTTCATTGTAAATGACAAACCTTGAAGTAGTTTTTTTTAATTTGCAGTGATGTTTTTTATTTGAATGAGGTGATGCAAACTATTTACAATAAGTTTAAGTTGTACTTAAAGCTCTCCCCGTTATTGGTTTTTATTAACTGAGTTGATAATGTAAATTTGGTATCGTAAAAAAGTTTCTATATCTGACGTTTTGAGCATTGGTCCTTCGTCAGGGCGAAGTCATACGCCCTTCAAATCAGCCCAGTGTTATTTTCTGAGGAAGGACTAACGCTCGCAACATCAGTTTTGCAAACTCTTTTCGGTAGGCAATACTTGCAACACTCCCCACCGAGGCAGATCCGCAGCTTCTCTTGAACTCTCCCCCATTCATACATTTATCCCCATTAAATGTTGTTTCTTCACAGGAGAAATCATCCGCAAGTTTGAAGATGATGATGAGTGTCTGGACCCCTTCAGTCCATCCATTCGCATAACTCTCGATCTTATCTGTCTGACCTTGCCAGTTGAGCATGACTACTCTGTTCTTAAGTCTTCGGTGCGTTGTAGCCAGGCACGCTCCAATTCTTTTTCCAGCACTAGTTCGCCCGCCTCTGTTTCTCCTTCGGATAAAAGATCAGGAGTTTTTGACTTCAGACGGCAAGACTCCAAAGCCACTTCTCACGATATGGAGAGGTGAGGACGAGCCCGCGTTTATTTCAGCGGGTTAACAATAAAATATCATTTAAGCCATGTTTGTGCAAACGGCAACGTTCTCTTCTGATTTCGCTCATTTTACTTCTAGTGCTTGGAAGACCCGCAAGATAAACTTATTTAATAACAAATTCAAGGAGTTTCTTTCCATTAACCAAATTTCTGTACTAGTTGTTGAAGATGTATTCGATCATTGTGCTCCTAATCATAAATGAACTACTAATCGTTTGTCCCACGATGTGGGTTGTCTATCAATTGAAGAGACCATTTATCGATTGTAGACTGTGACCTTTCAACTGCCTTGTTGCTAGTCTCTTTCCAGTCGTTTTCCCACGTAACATCGGGATGTACAGTTTATAGCTCGAATCTACAATTTAAAGTGACTCTAGAAGGTCAGACATGATAAAACGTTCGTTTTTCATACTTTATTACACGACTCGGGCAGTCAGAGGGCCAATAACTAAAATCAACCAATCAAAATGCTCTATTGCCGGTCCAGTATTCTCTAAGTATTAGATCCGGGCACTGACCCAAATGGTCCCAAATGGTCCCGAATGATGCCGCACTTGTGTCCCTTTGAACTTCAGTCGTGTAATAAATCTCTTGTTAACCAAGCTTGCTCGGGACCGTACTGGAAGATATCGGCCCTCGGTCTTTTTTGTACGGACCTCGCTGCGCTCAGTCCGTACTGTCAAGACCTCGGGCCAATATTCTCCCAGTACGGACCTCGCGCTTGGTTAATAAGATATGGTTACCTCAGGAGTAAGGCTAATATGAGGATCAGTCTCGTGGCTTGATCGTGTCTTGAGCTGTTGGTTAATAAGATATGGTTACCTCAGGAGTAAGGCTAATATGAGGATCAGTCTCGTGGCTTGATCGTGTCTTGAGCTGTTTTATTTGAATGGAAACATTGCTTTTTTCAGAATTGAAAGCTTGGATCCTCTTCATGGTCTCGTTAATTCTCAACGCCAGGCAGTGAACAACACGTGCGAGGCCATTCGTTGGCTTATACAAGATGAAATAGTCTCAGAACTCCGCCATATTGGACCTGTCAATAACTCCATGCTGGAAAAAGTCGAGCAGCATGTTCAGCAATCAGAAGACCATCCCTCCTGCATTTCTCGCCTCGTTCGCCTGCAATTTGTCTTTGGAGCTGAGCAAAGCTTAGAACTCTTTGTAAAAGAATTTGAGAGAATCAGCTTGCCAGAATACGTCCTGAAAAACGTTGACAAATATTACTATTTGACAAGCTTTATAGAGAAACAGGTTGCAGCTTTGTCGCCGTTGACTCTAGGAGAAAATGGAGATGATTTGGATAAACAGCAGGAAGAAGAGGCGACAACACCAAACCCAGAATCAAATAGTGAAAATGGTGACCAAACAACTTTACCTCAACTTGATGTCCAAACTACCCCTGAATCCCATACTTCAGCTAATGATGGTCTGTTAACGATTTACATTGGAAAACAGTCAACAAACAGTCAGCATGAAGAAGTCGCGGTAAATAATCTCAGAGAGAATGAAATGAACACCCCTCCCTCTAGACCACCGCATCTTGGCCAGCTAGGCAAGCAGCATTCCGAAGAAGAGGAAGAACCAGGTAGCACTCATGCATCCACCCCTCTCAACGACGCTTCATTCGCTTCTTCCGCTGGTAGCACCCCTCTACAGAAGCTGATCATGCCAGGTGAAGGCGTTGGTGCCGCTGACTTAAGTAACACAAAGGCGGAAGAGGACGACAGCTGCTCGCCCAGTCCATGTACCCCACGCCAGGATAAACAGATTGTTCCATCAGCGGAATTGTGCCTAAAATTCTGGCTTGTTATGAAAATATTGGACAGTGAAGTGAATATCGTCTTCCATCAAAGGTGGGAAGTCGTGATTGCTATGCCTTGTACATTTTGACGTCAAATTGTTCTGTGTTAGAATATCGGGAAAGTGTGCGCCCACATTTACAGTTTTTTTTTTCCTCCTCTCCTCCATTAAACAATTATTTCACGTTGCCGTGCGTCTTTTCAGTGATAGTTCTCAGATGACGTCAAACGGCAGGAAGGACAAAAAAGTAGCACACGATTCGCAGCAGGGTGTATCACTGATGTTCTTATCACATTTTGACTTCTACTATAGATCTTTTTCTGTTCAGACCCAGAACAACACGGAATCTATTTGTGTTTTTTTTTGTGTGTTTTTTTTTTGTTTCCGACTGATCGAAACAGACCAATCACGACCGACTTACGTCACTTGAGTCTTACAGCCAATAACATCACGGCAAAACCAACCGATCCTTTCACACGAACTGGAATAAGAACATTCTACTGACAACAATCATTCACTTGACTCTGATGATGACTTCCGCACAGGTTGTCGAAACGTCAGTCACTACCACCGACAACAGTCCTTCTCAGGACTACACTCACCCGGACGATCAGACTACACCTTCACATGTTACCCCCGGGTTCAAACCATTAAATGTTGTCAATTTTGACGTCATCTATACGTCTGTCCTACAGTAGATCATGATAAAAGACCAATCGAAATGCGTGTAGGACTCAGCTTCTCGTATAATGGTAGATTCCTATTGAGTGGATGGATACCTACACTACATCATGACAAATAGCTAACAAACAACAGTTTTTGCAGTACCAACCTATTTCAGCGCCAAAAACAGAGAAAGGGGATTTGACTGTGACAAAATGTTACAGGCATAACTTCATAGAGAAAATTACTTTTGCATTATTTTGTTATTTCAAGGTCATTTTTTTTTTTTTTCGTCTTAGCTGTCCACAACGCTGACAGAAATTAAATTTTTGGCATGAGCTAAAGAAGGGTTTCTGGGATTTATCTGTGAACCAAAGCTACACATTATAAATGTGTCTTATTTTTTTCAAACGCAGAGAGTCAGATGATGCGAAGTCTTTCTGTGCTACGAGAGCAAATGGTCTGGTTGAGATGGTCACAAATGCTGTACATGAAAAATGCCGCATTGTCAATCAGGTGGGAATATAAATGGTCACGATAAGGAAGGACTGTAAAGTAGTTTATTACATTCATTTTGAAGTCACTGGTGGTCCCTGTAATCTGATTGGCTCTAATTGGTGCGATTTATTCACGAATCGCACCATTTTTTGCTCTAAATTGCATCATATTACGCTTGACTAAGTTTTTGACACATGACGTCAAAGTCTTTCTGTTTTACATACAAAATAAGATGTAAAAGCATTTCTGGTTCTGCTTTTATTTAAAAACCGGCTCAGTACTGCATCAAGAAAATATTTGAATGGACCAAGTCCTGTATTTGGGCGATTTCAAAATGGATGTAATAAAGTGGTAATTGAACCTCGTGTCATGCAATTTTGGTCTGAAATCATACTTGTGATTTCAAATCAAACTCGAATTGCGCGCTCGTTCGATTTTGAAATCACAGGTGTGATTTCAGCCCAAATTGCACTCCACTCAGTGGACGATTGGTTCAGAGGCAGTTATTGGCGTATATTGTGACATGTGAAAGTAATAACTACGGAACGCCATATTTGTTTGTGGCAAAAAAAACTACTCCTCTCTATCAGGAACACTTTTGTTTAATACATGAGGAGTCCACAAACATCCTTTGGAAGACTTTCAACCCTTTTAAACAATTTTAAATCAAATATGCCCACGGTTAAGCATAAATACACGATTAAGCATAAATACACGATTATATGGAAACATAACGTCATTACAACTTTTCCTTCACATCACAGTTTTTTCAGGCGTCATACAATTTTGTGTTTTGAAGAGAGTTGCCAAATAATTGTTGCGAGTATGAGACTAAGAACAAAGTGAATCTTCAGATTCCTTAAGAGTCAGATCAGAGGCTCTTCTAACCAAGACGCAGAGAGTCCGTTAGCGAGCCAAACCATAGGCATGGGTCAATGCTGATGAATGTTTGTGTTCATGCTAACAAAATTATAGAGCAGATCAACCAGAGCCGAGTTTACTAATAAACATGCATTCCCTTTATCCATAGCGAATGTTGCTGCATGAATTATACGAGACGAAGATGTGCAATTCAATGTTATTCCCTGAGTCGGACGAGGACATTTGGAAACATGAAGAAATCCAAATGTCAGTTTCCCCACTGGGTGTTCATATGACCAAAGGAGATAGCAAAGGTGAGAAAAGATTTTGAAAGACACTTTGTTAGTGATCGTTAATATTCTGAGTTGGGATGAAGGACTTAGTCAAGAATAGTGCATTTGCCTCAAGGCCAATGACTGCAGCTCAGACACATTTTAAATTTTCAGACTTAACATTAAGTACAATGTTCGCCCCTCGCGTCAAAGTTGAAGCCCAAAGTTTTCCAAGCTTCACTTTGTTTTCGTTTATTCTTAAACTCCTTGACCTCTGAGAGTGACTAGCATCTAAATTCTCCTTACAATATCACCCCTGAACCACAAGTTAAGGTCAGGAGAATAAAGGAAATTATCAACAACTAAACAAGCTCTTGATTGTTTGAAAAATTTCTTCTTGTTTACCCCTGAGGAAATGTTTGGAGAGCAGTATGGAGAATATGCGCAATGATATTATGGTGTAAAGCTTAACCTCAGGCAATCTTAGGAGATCAATCCGTCATTTCTCATCACATCCACGAATGTTGTATTTCATACATGTTAGTCGTTATCACAAGGGCGACGAATTCAATAGAATAGGGAGATTTAGCTCCGCGTTTACGTGAAACGTGAATGGCAAGTGTGACCACGTGACCAAGTTTTTCCCGCCATTTTTTCACGTTTGCCGTTCGCGCTTTGCCGTTTCTATGTGAGAGTAACCTGCTTCGCGTTTGCAGTGTACGTAACATTTTCTTCACTTTTCCTCTCACAGAGTAGAAGTTAATATCCGAAAAAACTGCACCCAAAATGTCCCGCGTAAGTCATACAAGGGCGCCTTCAAAACCACCTCGACGTGAGCTCACGCGAAGCGAAAGCAGCAAGGTTCACGCTATTTTACACGAAACGTGAAAGGACAAGTTGACGTTTGCTGTTTCACGTAAACGCGGTGCCAAATCTATCTAATAATAAGCCCTGCTACCAGTACGTGACTTTGTAACATACTCGTGAGGGTGAAAGGGTTTCAGGAGGTGTATTCAGAGTATACTATCACATTACAAAGAATCCTGATTATTTTTTTGTCTAGGTCGTGTCACTAGTAAGTTTGTTCCAGTCCAGTTTCTTTTCCAACCCGGACACTTTGGCTGTGATAGTAAATGGTACACGCACTTACCTGTACATCAGCGACTCTTTGAAGCTTCGGCTCGAACAGGAATGTCCCGCGGGTTGAAAGTCATTAAAAGTGTATTGGACAAGTTTGAGGTGAAGAATAGGAAGGACATGTTTGTGTACAAAGAGAGCGCTGGTTCTGTCTTCTACTTCAGGTAATGAAAGTTTTTTTTCTCCTCTTTTGAGGTTTAAATAAAAAATTTTAGATGAAGTTTTGTTTATGTGAAATCCGTTTCTTGTTGACAAAACTTTCCTCTTAACTAAGGTGGGTGAAGTAACCAAATTATGATTATTAATTACCTAGGGCGCATGCGCTTTTCGATCGAGTGTAGTGAAACCAACTTCAATGTAATCGCAACGGCAAATCACAAGAAACCAGAAGACGCCAATCAGAACTTTAAGTGAACAGATACAACCGGTTTGAAGCGTGGAAAAACATAAATGACCAATTCACAGTTGTTTTTATTTTTTGCAATTCAGGGTAGCGCGATTTTATATTCTACAGTCACAGCGTAGTAAATTAACACCAAATAAATCCCGAATTTACTTTCAAAAAATTTTATTTATTGCCATCTAGTCGTGTAGTCCTGGGGCTTTTGTTAGCAGCTATTGTTTGGTAAAAACTAGCGAAAATCATCCTTAAAGGCGCGTTAGTAAATGAACCAATTTCTGGTTAATTGTAGACATAGAGATGTTTCATCTAATGCATTCCTCGGTAAGAAGACATTACTGATGTAAGATTTAATGAACGACTGATACTTAGGTATTGAGACACTTACAATCTTTCCTTTGGCTCATGTCATTCTCTCTTTTACCTTTCAGGTTGTTCGAGTCTCTATGCTCGAGTTCAAATCAATTTGCCTCTAACCTTCGTCCTTCAGAAGAAGATGATGACGACGAGTCTCGGCCTGGGTCATCAGTTGCATCACTGGCTGGTTCAAGAACGTCATCACAGT